CGGATCTCGCCAATAAAGAGAGGAAAGAATCCAGTGCTTCCGGTAGCTTTGGAGATAAAAGAAGCTACGTCTTGAGGTGCGTTTCAGCACGCAACTGGCGGGCCCGGGAGGAATTTCTATAATGGAAAGGATGAATTGCCAGCAATATAACGTTAATGAAGCTGCAAAGCGGATTCGAAAAAATAGTGTTGAATATTAAGAAAGCAATTATACGGTGATATTCGGTCACGCGTGACGTTTCTGCCCGGAAGCCAAGTCACGCTTACTCGTACACGTGTCACTTGTAAAGCACTAGCTAGAGCGTTCGCCTCTGTTTTTATTAGACAGGTTAAATTTGTTTTTTAATAACTTATATTAGATCACCGCACACTGTCACTGATTCTGTGTGCATGTAGAGGATAAAAATTCTTACCACATACTACGTACTGGTATGTGGTATTACCTTAAAACACACTGTACGGTTATACATTTAAAAACTCAGAGAACGTAAAATGCTGTTTTATTTTGCAGGATTTTCCCTCTTATTCATGAGTAGTTAATGCATCGACTCCCGACGCTATGAGTTTGAAAACCGAAATCAATGAACAGCAAACGGATGACCTCCAGGAAAAAAGACGAATATACGTGGTTGAATTTGCATGCTGTGTTATATTACCGGGCAATAAGTGCGTGGAATTTCGTGCGCTTTTGCCAAGTTTTGTTTTGTTTTTAGTTATTTAAGGTCGCATCAACATCTAGGTCATTAGCATTAGCATCACTATTTCATTTTAACGGTATGGCAACTGTGAAGATGACATAATATTCTAATGATAGGGGGTAAAACGGCGAACACAATTACAACCATGTCCGAGGCGGGATTCGAACCTGCGATCCTTTGGTCCGAGATGGCTCGGCCATCCTGACCAGCTTTTGCGAAGTTGTTACCAGAGAAGAAAGAAGTTCAAGGTAGCCAATCCGGGTGGCTGAAATCCCTAAGCAGTAGTGTGAGGGCGATTTCGGAACGAAGGATCGTGGGTTCGAGTGCCGCCTGAGTCATGGTTGTATTTCTATTGGTGTATTCACCCTTCACCATAACCACATCTCTTTATTCAGTATATATAGTTACCCCTGTATATACTGATCACCGTGAGAACAACTATGCCATTAATATTTGTTTGGGCAGGAAATATATGGGCGAATTTTAGATTTACAAGAGACATTGTTTATACATTTCAAACTGGCATAGTAGCAATTTTTGTATAAATGTCTTCTCGGTAATTTCATTGTAAGTCAGTTTTTTCTTTAAATTATTTGCGCTCGTATTTTGTTTTCTTTCCTAACTAAATGTTCGGCCACAAAGTATTTCAGTTTAAAATGCATTGTAGATTACGCGTTGCTCAAGGTTAATCGGGTAGGTCGAGGGCTAGAGCCTTGCCACCTACTTGAGCACATACAGTGAAGGAGGAACTGCCCTAAAAGAATGATTAAAATATGCCGGTTCTAATGCGAGTTCGAGGTGTCGTTCATTTCTCGCAGGTGTGAGTCGATTCCTTTATATTGAGCACACAGTATGCGCGTTGCGTTCGCTTTGCGCTCTAGGCGCCATTTTGCGTTGAATGTATCGTTTAGATCGTGATTTTTATGTGTCATATATACACAGTAAAAGTGATACGGTCGTAAAAATCCTTTTTTTTAAATTAAGGAATAATGTTTTGAAGTTTATTATATTTTTCAGGGTAAAATTTAACAAAAAAAGTTGGCAATACCGTCGGTTAATAAAGAAAAAAGAAGTCTTCGGCCGCGAATTAAATGCCTTCCATCCAGATAAAACGTTCTCTTGCCCAACGCCAATTTTTTAAACGAGTTGCTTTTCTTAATGATATGTAGACTAATTTATTTGAAGCATAGTAGTTTAATTTTTCTTTAAATGAAACGTATTTGCAAAAAAATGAGTCTTTATTTCCGTAAGTTTCAAATAATGCTCGGCATTTCTTTCTCTACATTTCTAGTTACATAACAACTAAGGTATTGTTCATTTATTTTTGTTATGCGTATTCCCAACAAGTAGCTCTTTAAACGAAAATTACTAAGCAACTTCGTCTGTTCTAGAAACGTTCCTCCCCCAGACTATTCGCCGCGTGACCTACTAGACGAGGTCTCCAGCGCTTCATCGAGTGGAATTCTCTGGAGGCCGCCTCTTCTGCGCATTGTGTGCGTTCTGCGCTTGGACCGAAGGAAACGGTGCTGTTTGCTAGACCTCTCACTCCCCTCTGCTCTGAGAAAATAGGCTCCAAGTTCGAGGTTGCAATTTCTATATCAGTTTCTTTATACATTTCTAATATTTTAATATTTTCAGGAATATTAATCCGTGCATTTACGCAAGGATGGTTATCCAGGAGGTTGTGGATGGCTAATAGAACCATCGTAGTGGCTCAAGAATAAAGTTATCCTCACAGTTGTTACAACTTTCTTGGGAATGTGTTGGAAGTGTTTACATATCAGAAAATAACAAACTTAAATTGCGTACTACTTTATTAAAACATTAGTGTTATTTATACTTGTTTAAAACTGTTTCAGTAATTAATGAAAAGCATAAATGTACAGTATAGTGTACAAACAAAAGCACGTGAAAATAAGAAAATACTCATCGCCGCTGCACAAGAAAACTGAGCTAGTATCTCGATTTGTTCTATGATTCCGATAACATGCTGTGTTAACGGAAAACTGTATTACGTGCTTTATACTGAGCGGAGCCGTTTATTTACGGACGAAGGCTGTGTTTTACTCTGAAAGGCAGGTCTTATGAAATATGGTTTCTTAACTAACAAATGACGGTCTTGAGAGGTCTCGTCTTTTTTGGTACAGATTTATTAACAAATTACGAACAGAATTTGAATATATACGAGTATAAAATCATTAATTTTCATATAAAACGTAATATTCTTTATTTCCTTCTTAGCAGACCGAGGTATCATTTGTGAAGTAAAAACAAAGAGCATTTCTTAGTCTGACGGAACGGGGAGACACTAGAATTAATAAAATCTTTCGCGTTGTGTTTCTTAAAATTGTAATTTTACACTGACCTCGTTATCCTGGCGCTGTGCAAGTAGGGCAAAGAAGACAAAAACTAAAATAAATTTAATAACGCACGGTTTTCATCTGGCAGAATCTCACAATAAGACATATTTCTACAAGGTGATTGATTCTATCGAATCATCCCTGCCTTTATTGATTTCGTAAATACTGCCTCCAGTGTATCTACTATAAAACCGCCTAATAAAACGAAAAATTCAAAGTAAGAAGTCAGAGAATATTTTTTAAATAACTAAGAGATTGTATGTAGTATATACCAAAAACTAATTTTTTTCTTAAAATAATTTCAATATTTATTTCTGAAGGAATTCCGTTTAATTTGTTTTTTATTTCAATTGCTTCTGCTTGAGAATTACAAATTTATCCCTGAAGACATTTAAAGTACATTGATAGTTTCTCTCTTATGGCATGCAGTGAAGTACTATTTACAATAATTGTAATTATGCCAACGAAATAGTTAAGATAATAAAGTGAAAAACTATCCGTATTTTCATACTGAATTGATATCTACATCTGAAGTATGAAATGGCTGCTTAGTGTATTGCAGGTATACACCAACTGAAGACTTCTCTCCTTGCTTAAATTTTACATGGTATTCACTCATGTCACAGCACTGCATTCATAGTTTAGAGTGAAATTCAAAGTAACAGTCACGTTCAAGAAATTCAACGTAACAAGCTTGTTGGATTGGCAAATCCGTCGAAAATATGTTCCGACCAGTTCCAAACTGTTTCTTATTAACACTTCTTTAAATCTAATCATTTAATGTATTGAACAATTATGTCATTTGAATGTCGCCCAAGTTGCATAAATTAGACGGAATATTGAACGCATATTAATAAGCTTTCCACCTACGGCAAAAAAACTACTTGCAGCAACCACTTGGGAGGCAAAGCTTGGAACAAATGTCTCCAGCTTTCGGTTCGACGGAAAATTATTTTTCTGAACGTTCTAGATCACGTGACTCCAGAGCATGTACTTGAGCCATACTGCTTCCGTTCAAAATTATCACGAGCCAGCAGAACTATTAAGAATCAAAATTTACAATTTTATTAAACTATATTATAAACTATAGTATTAAATTAAAGTATTTTACAAGTCTGCTCAAAGAATTATTCGAATTATTTGGAAAAAAATTTAACAATAAAAATTGCTGGTACTGTTTTTTGCTTGAAATTACATTGCTTAATTGTTCTTTCAATGTAACTTATAAACCACAGAGAATATTTGGACTTTTTTATTTAGGATGGTTACATACTTCCTGCGCTATTATAAAATCATTCACTTATATTGTTGACAATCACTACATGAAAAACGACTTTTCAGAAATTTTATTTTTTGCTATCTTCACGCTGTATAAATTGTAGAACCGTTTACAATAAAATGTGATATATCAAACGTTACGATTACGTATCAAAAAATCGTCAATGGCTCACATTAATTTAAAAAAATGATAGATAACACAAATACATTAAAAGAGATTATTTCAGAGTAAAACATAGGTTTTGTGTCAACGTAACAAGTTGAAAAGTCAACATAAGTTTCTAGTCTCCAACCGGCACTCTGATTTGAGGCAGGTATTGAACTAGAAGAAAACTATATTTCATCTGAGAGGAGAGGTGAGGTGAGGTGAGGTGAGGTGAAGATCAAAGGGGGAATGGAACCAAAACAAGGGAGGCATGGATGAGAGTACGATATCGACTGTAATTACTGTATTTTATGATCAATGTTCTTAAGGAGAATATTATTTAGAGCTAATGAGATATGCAGGCCACCACCAAAAACAATTTAACAGAGTCTTGCACTTGACTCTTGCTTTTTTACTTTTTCCCCTAGCGGAGGCGATATGCAGCAGCAGACTGAATTGTCAGGTGTGACCTTTTAGCATATCAATCCCCATCACCTTTCCCTAACTTTTATTTTCTTACCTGAATGAAGGACCACTCACAGATGGAGCTAAGAGACTGTAACCCTCGCACGCACACCCAGGAATGCAGTTCGTCCACGTTTCGTCAGCAGTCACACGCTCGGAAAGTATTTTGCCAGTGTTGTCGTATTTCGCAAGCTCTGTAAGGAGTTAAAGCACATATATATCTGAACTCGATAACACACACAACCGATAGAATATACGATTCAATAAGCAATCAATATTTACGATTTGGAACAAATGCAGTTTGTGTATTCTGTGAATACTGTTATCAGTGCCACCGTTTCACACATTGCACAGTTGTACGTAGTTACCATAAGTCAAACTAGTGCTGACACACACACACACACACACACACACACACACACACACACATGACAGGCTTGGGAAGTCATTACATTAACAAAATAAATTAAGTACATAAATGAACGTACGTAGATTGTCCACAATAAGATCACATTGATCACGTTGCACTAAGAACATATTAAACAGATCACTGCTTTGTAAAGGCGTTGGGCGTGAATACAACATGTTGCAAATTAACGGAATTGTGAGGCGTGAAGTAGACCTCTTGCCTTCACGACGAGCTCACGACAACTGAACCGAGGCAGATCGGCGGCGGCACGTCGCCGTGTCGTGCTTTTCCGCCCTTTTAGGCACTGCAGCTAATAGGAAGGCTACGATAGCTCTGGTTGAGGAAGCCTACGACATCATTTAACATGCGTTATTATGTGATATTAGAAGCTTTTGACCACAAACATGGGAGATACATCAAGAGCAAGATCTAGATGGGCCTTTCTGGAAATAGTTTTAATATTTTAATATATTTTCATATTTTAATATTTTACATGAAACTCCAGTGACATCTTCAAAATGTTTGAAAAATGGATACACCTTTTTTTCTTTAAATTACATATTCGATTAGAAGAAAGTGCATTTATAATTATCATATTTTCGTTAATACCTTTGATATTTTGAAAATTACATTAATCATTATATTTCAAACCCGAAGAGGTTTTGTTCAGAAAGAAGATTGAACTGTATATATTGAAGCAAGTTTCGAGATTTTTGCTTTAAATGAAATGTAATGGGACCCAAATATGTAACAGCAAACTATTATTAACCGGCTTTATAGTACTTCATCTAAGCATGTGATTTTCCCTATGAATTAATTGATCATGTTGTCCTTGTTTATTAACAGGTAATTTAATTTAACAAATGATTTCATAAAATTTCAGCGCTGAAATTTAGATTTTTTCAGAACTGAATCTAAGATGATGTGGAGTCATAGTGTTTAAAATTAATACAAAATATGCGATAAAATCACAAATCAATATTATTTAATGCACATGTATTAATAAATATAATGGGAACACATTAGAGTAAAATACATTTATATAGGTGGCAGATGTCCGATTTTCATGGTGTACTGAATTTTAGATAATTCTAAAATTATTTAGGCGTCTCCTTACAACTACAAAATTGAAGATAAATACTTTTAATTCAAAGAAAATTTGTTCTTCATAGTGAGTTACTTCATTAAGATCAGGTACATTTTAAAAAAAAGTAGTTTTTGCGCATATTGCAAGCAATATGTGCAATTAAAAAAAATCTCAAACATGGCTCCAAATTTTTGCTTGAAACGTTTTGTAGGTGTACTGCTAAATATACTCTATAAGATGACATAGACGTCATTGCTCTGCGCCTAGCTGTCGTGCTAGTGTCGAAAATTCAGCCACCGTCAGGATTCGAATCTATACGTAGTACCACGCGGTCAGAGGCACTGCAGTGACAATAGATGATGCCCTGAGCTACCTCTCCCGGTTTTTCGACATTCAATTGTCGCATTTTATTTCTTACACCGTGAGTCTTCCTCACTAGCAGCTCGAACTAGATTAATCGGTAACTAAGGAGCGATTTTCCTCAATATGATTGGAATCACATTACCTTGCGGTATGAAACTCAACTCTCAACCCCGTGGTCCACGTTCCAAACATATTCTGCATTAAAGACATTAATATTTCAGCAGTCTGTTACCATTTTTCTACTAAGGCAAGTAGCCAAACTTTACTTGTTTTTTTCATAATAAACAAATAGACTCTCCATTGCACAAACTCAAAACCATTACACATTAAATCGAAAATGCCAAAATAGGAATGTAGGAAGTCGAGTTAATGTAGTTATTCGAACCTCGTACACTAATTTTAAATTTTACGATTCAATACTTTTTTATAATATTTAAGAATTTGTTATGCATTGAAACGCAATAAAATTCACAATATTGAACTTTTATTTTGTGAGTTACTGGAACTCAATTATAGCAAAATAAATATTATTCTTGTGTTTAAGGTCGACCTGTATATTGTTCCTTCTATTTTTGCTCTGTTTTCTTTCGATAAACTTGTGTTGATTTTGTAAAGATCTTCACTTTTTAACTGGTGTGCGAGTGCGAATGTTGTTTCGTAGTAATAAAAACACTTGACTCTCGTCTGAGTTACATAGAGAAAATAGGAAAATACAGATTCATCTTTCCATGGTAGAAGATAAACAATGATAGGAGTTACCGATAATATTGAGAACGTAATACATAAAAAACGATTACGATAATCGTTTTTGTAGTTTTCCTGATATAAGATACATTGAAAGGTGTACCAGAAATATTTACTTTCGGAAAATATGCTATCAGAAACATTACATAACATTATAACAGACGATAAACCACACAAATTACATTCAATATAAAATACAAGCGTCTAATACACACAAAAAATTACCAGCAAGTTTGAACACTTTCAGCAAATATTTTTTTATTACTTTTGTAGCGATGTTGTAAATATTTTTAAAATTTTAATATTTATATTTCTCATATGTTATTATCTCTTTACCAAGTTTACACTTATCAACTTACGATCAATTGTACTTCTAAATTGTTTGTAAAGAAACACCGCTTGTTGGTTTTGAAGAACAGATCTGGGCAGGTTGGCATTTGTCGATAGTTTTTAATGCCTGACGCAACTCCATCTTACTTTTCACGAGTTTGATTGCATCGTGCTACATTTATTAGGCTACTTTAATATATTTTTTTATTTTTGAATGTTTGACTTTTGAACTTTTAAAGTCATTAAAGAACATCAGTTGTAGGTTAACCTACCAACCCCACTCACAAAATTATACTTGTTGACATTTGATTTTAAATTAAATGGTCAATATATGCTGTGGCAGCCCTTACAACTGTCGGATTTGGGGAGGTGTCCTTTGCGCGCCGTGATTGTTAGGGGGAGAGGGGAGATGCGTAACTACAGCCGTTCATGGTCTTGCCATGACTGAAATGGGAACAAATATCAATATTAACGATCAGAATGAAATATGATTTTTTTCATCGAATCATCAGAATATAACTTTTCTTCTACTGATTGAAATTCCAAAGCATTGATTTATAGCTCCATAAAACACTGCAGACAGTATGTGAGTCTTTGCATTCACGACTGAAAATGTTCATAGCTGTCGATGGAGTCACAGTGTATAAGTAAATAATTTAGTGCATACTATTTGTATTATTTTTTTATAGTTATCTACATATTAGTTTAGTTTTTGGTAATTTGCAGCTAGACGTTCAATAATAGTAATTTATGAACTATTGAATATTTGAACTATATTGAACTATTGAATTACTGGAATAGTATTTCTACCTATCTGTAATGTAATGAATATCAGGAGATATTTTTGTGAAAATATTCAATCTGTCATATGGCTTAATAAACTGGAAAACAGTCACGGAGTTTGCATTCACTGCCGTGAACTGACTCAAATATTTCCTCCTCATTACTTTTTTCTTCGCCTTTCAAAACATCAGTAAGTTTTTCTCCATCCCCCTCTTGTATCTTTGACATTTCAATCTTTCACTCTCATTGACTGGCCAATGCCAACTAGCCGCGAACTGGAGAACCAGCACATCGCACAGAAACCTCTTACAACACCCGAAATTCACAGGGTCGCGGTCGTCTTCCTCGGTCAGAAACGGTAGAGCGAGGACTACTGTGTTTTAAGCTCTATTTACAGCTTATCGCAAGCGAAGCAATTTTAGTTTTAGTCATACTTTGCGATGAGTCGCGAGGTGAGACCTTACACGAAAGGCACTGAAAAATCCATACCAAATGGTCATCAACTCTAGCTTTAAACGCCTAATAAATAGGTATGAATGACAGTAGTAATCCACACGACCACTGAAGGGTTATTGAATAAGCTGAAATAATCTTATTAATATTGGTATTGCAATGATGTAATATGTAGGGTAGTTTTTGGATTAATTTTGTCTCACACAAGTTCAGAGGGTTTAAAATCGATTGGCTACTAATGACTAAGATGAGTATCTGACCAAACCAAAGCAGTCCCTGCTGAAACAAATCGGGGAGTGGAAAATATAATTTATGTAATAAAAATATAATATTATAAAAACAATAAAATAGACATTTTCGGCAAGAAATCTATTCAAAAAAGGTACGCTATTTCCCCTGGGTTTCATGTAACGAATTCAGAACTCAAAAGAAAGAAAACCAAATTATTTTCTTCAAACTATTACAGAAGCCAATCAATAAACTGCGACAATATTACTCTCTAAGCTCTTAAAACACATTTAAGATTAGGATTACAAAATCGTTCCACTGATCATACTGATACTTCTGTGTTAGGTCGTAAAGGTCAGGTGACACAAAGCTTAGGCTATAACGTGGCTGACTTAAGAACCTAAGTACCAACGATCTCCGATTTCCTCTATACCAAACTTATAGAAATTGCGGCAGCTTAGAAGTTGTTACATTGCTGCGGCATTTCCACCTCTCACACAATTCTCTCTAAACTTTATTCTATTCCACTACTCTTTCATAAGTTACTTGCCATGTAAACAAAATTATTATTATTTTTCTCGTCTCCAAAGTATTTCAGAGTACTCTGTAGTAATTTGTCTGCAATGTACAGCTTTGGGTATGAAGCCCCCCAAATAATTATTAGAAGATGTTTGTGACTTTTCCTTTTAATATGTTGCCAAGTGCATTCTCGCTATACTATACATTGGGACCATACAAGTTTTCCCCACACTATGTCTCGCATAGCAGTCATATATATCGTACTCAGAGAGAAGAACCACTTTCACCTTCATTATTTCTCTCCATAACTATTCATTATGAACCGCATTCCAAAACAGGTTCTTACAAGTTTGCCTAAGCCACGTGTTTCTGACAAGACTGACAAATGGTAGAGTGCAATGGAAAACTCATTACAAAGTAAAGAATAGCATTTAGTGCCGAACGGCCGTGGCGACAACATCGCTCGCACCGGCCTAGCCAGTGCAGTTACATAATGAACTTCCTAAGCGTGCGCCATAAACCAACAGTCGCTTATCATCTAGCTGTGACCTACATCACACCATTGCAGGAGCCATGGCAACTGTACGGCAGCGAGAGTACCATGGACCGTTCCTCCAACAGCCCAGAGATTCACCAACATCATATCGTATTCCGTGCCCACCCGAGCTGCCAAAATCTAAAGTTTGTCTTAAATATGCAGAATAAGCAGTTTGCAAATGTTCAAGGTGCCTATTGCAGCTCGCA